GTTTACAGGGTCTGGAGCAGATAACTTTGGCATGCTGGGGAGTCTCCATGCCAACAGCTGTAAACTTTTCTCTCCTGTTAGCGTATGAGTCTAAAATGCCATCTGTGTGGCAAGAGGAATTTGGGAATTTTACACATCCTCAAGGAGAGGAGGTGGTCTGGGTTCCCCTGAAGCATTTTCCCTAGCACAGGGGATGCAAGGCCGGTTCATTGTCCTATGTACTAACACTACTCTGAATATTGGGAAAAGATAGAAGCGATGCTATTTTTGAAGGCAATATTGAACATAAATAGACATGGCAAGGTGCCAGCTTCAAACCAGAACTGTTTCCAATAAAGCTGGGTGAGGCACTCAAAGAGTCTTTTGAAAAATCCATTAAGGCTCCATCAAAACAAGGCGCTTTTCAGAATGACAGACACATAGGTGCCTTCTTCATCTCATTCATTGAAATAAAAAAATCAGGCACGTTTTCTCCTTATTTCCTTTCACACAGACTCAGCCCCTCCGGAGGAAAAAAAAATAAATTAAAGTTTCTGTTGTGGAGAAGAAGGCAGCACCATTTCAAGTTTTAACAGATCTTCTATTGATCAGGCTTAAATTGGCTGCGTGCTGCCTGCAGTTGAGCTCCGCTGCACTGCTGCTGACATGGAAAGGACTTAGCAGGCAAGCGGAGAGCTCACCAGCCTGCAACCCTCATCCAGTGCTCAAAGCTTCAATATGCAGAAGCTTTCAAGGCTGAAAAGCCCAGGCTTTTGCCTTTCCACCAGTAGGTCTTTGAACACCTCTGGGTCTTTGTAATAGCAGCATTTGCTTCATCATTTCAATTTCTGCATGAGTCACAGTTCCCCTCATGTACTACTTTTCCTTTCCCACTCTGCCTCAGAGATAAGAATTCAGTGTCCCAGAGCAGAGATTTGAGAAACCTCAGGCAATGGATTCATGTCCAGAAAAAAAATGAATCTTATCTACGACAAAGAGGGAAAAGGAAGGGGGCGAAATGTATTTGTAGTAAAATTGTTAAGAGACCAAATCGGTGCCTCCTTAGGAAGTTCCTGGGATGTAAAGCACCAATTAACGTGCACATGATGTGAAATATGAATAGGCCAGGGCTTTGACTCATCCCCCAGTACAAACCAAGTGAAGAGTTTGAGTTGGCAACACAAGTAGCAATTTGAAGAGGGAAAAGGAAAGCCTTTCATTCTATCTGGATGTGCCTCCAGCCATAGCAGAGGGACAGAGGAAGTCATGCAAGTTAGGAAATGCCAAGACACGGAGATGTGACCTGAGGGTGCCTGTGGTCTGCCTTCGCCACGCACCAGAGCACAGCCCCAGGTCCATGCAATTATTTCCATTGTGAATTCAATAACCATTGCAAACTTGCACACACGAGCAAGGACCTCAGAGTAGAAAGGAACAATACACACTTCAGCTGTGGACCCCCAAGCACTGGGTCATGCTAATCAATCAACCCACTCAGTGCCTCTGGCAGAGAAATATTTTTAAAATATTTTAGGAGACAGGAAAAGGATCAAATTATTGAGAAAGCCACCAGAACTGGTAATTTGATTCTTTAGAAGATGCTAGTTCTATCTGTTTGTAAGGGAGCTGAATGCTGGGGACATGGAGAGGTAGATGGGTGATAGGTCCTTGGCTGTGACCTCCAACTGACCCAGGCAAGACAGCACCAGTGCCCCTGTCCTGCCTGGCTGACTGATATTTGGGACCCAGCAGGGTTGGTGGTCAGGCACTGAGGACAAACCAAAGCCATTTTTGGTGCACTCTCTATTTACAGCTGCAGCACAACCAAATCCATCAAGCAGGAAGAGGAGTTCAGTTGTCACTGTCACATCCCGGAGGAAGACTGGGCTGACTCAATTAGGAGACGTACACGAGTATTGATTATTGCCAAGTACAAATTCTCTCTCCCTCTCAACTCTGTGGTACTGTTAGTTTATTTTCCTCCTCCAGGTTATTCTTAATTTCAAAATAACACAATTGTTGTTGTTCCCAATGTACAATACAAATTGACAATATAATATAGCTTGTATTACCACAGTCCCTACTGGCCTCTGATGAGTTAGTAATTCAGACATCTGATTTCCTCATATTTTTTTCCTTTTTGCTCTCTGAAAACGTATTTCTTTTTTACATTCAAAGCAAAGCCACCTCACAGCCATAGGATGTCTGAAAGATTTTTCTTGCCCTTCAACTCTACTATAGAGGAGGCTGGATCTGTTCCAAAGGTCTTCTCCTGTAATCGCAGCCATCAGTCACTTATCCCCAGGGAAATTTATGCCAACCCCTCTCTGTATGCTGGGACAACTGTTTTGGAGGGGGCAGTAGAGCCTGTGAGCTTCCTGCCTCAGCTTACAGGTTGGCACTAAGCAGGGAATGGATGTAGCAAGCTACGGTCTGCCAGGATAAATGAAGTGTTAGATCTTACCAAATGCATCTGCCTACAGACCTGTTTCTTCAGGTGGGAATCCATCATCCCTGCCTCTGGAAATAAAGCCATTGGAACATGTTGCTATAAACTCATGAGCCTAAAAAAGGGTCTCCTGCGTCTGAAAATGGAGATCTCATGGTCCTGCACTCGGTCAGAGCAAACAGAAAGGTTGAACTTCCTACGCAAGCATCATCACTCTCCTGCCCTTGTAGCACCATTTGGGAGCCCAACTTATCCCACACCTGCAGTTTCTTGCATGGAACTGGCAAAATGCACTGACTGCGTTGAATAAGCCCAGGGACTCAGAGGTCCCATGATCTCACCAGAAGATATTAAAATTCTTCATCTTCCTCTTGCCTGATGAAAGAGGTATGAACTGTGCTTGGGCCAGTTAGAAATTAAACCATTTCCAGTGTATAACATCTATTGCTCTCCTTGGGGATGACTCAGGATGTGAGTTACACATTTCTGGTAGAATGGTACTGGAGAGGACAGCAGGGCCAGCACTTCAGTTCTGTATTTATGGATATCATCAGAAAAGTTTTATTGGATACATATTTTGCATCCCTCTCTCTGGAGGACTTTCACAGTATTTTTGTTCTCTTGCTTTCAGTAACCGATTTTATACATGTATGTACACAGAGGGGATTTGGGTAAGAATTCCTCAAAGTATGGAGAAACAGTGATTGTTTCCCACTTGACATAGGGAGGGAACATGGAACTCCAACCTTGACTGTAAGTCCAAAGGGACTGGAGTAGGTCTGACCCTTCTACTTCTTACCACAATCACACTTCCCTCCTTTAAAGGACAATTGCCATGCACTAGCCCGCACAAAGGCCACCTGCCAAGGCTGCTTTTTCTTCTGGCTCCCCTTCAAGATGTGCTGCTTTCTCCATTTAACTCACCTGTCAAGGGCACCTGAGTGCCCTCCCTGAGGGCTAATCCCTCCAGTGATCCCTGCCAGGGAGCCCTGGGTTGTGTTTCAGAGAGTGTAAAGTCTTCAGCACATAGTCCCAAAAACCTGCCTGCCAGGCTTCCCCCAGGAACAGTGCTCATATGGTGGTACGACTGAAATGTGGGGCCACTGTGTAGCTAAGGACAAAACCCACCTGCAATCAGATGTAAAACAGGGTGATTCAGTACCAGTCCTGGTTTAGCACTTTGACTTTGGCCTCAGTACCAGATGCCCTCATCAGAGTGCATTCTCCTTTCTCCAAAAGATGAGATGTCCTAAGATTTTCACCCAAACAGGGAAAAAGGAAGAAGTATTTTGAAGGTTTTCACAAAAACAGCACATCCCGCGGGTAGTTTGGGTCAATCAAATATTTTCTTTTGTTCACTTTTCCCATGTAATATAAAATGTGGATGAAAAATTGACAAAAAGTGAAATGACTGCAACTTCGTTTGAAAAATCATCAAAGCAGAACACTGTAACCTAAAAGTTACTTTTGAAAAGGGAATGATCAAAACAATATGGCCTGATGTGTCAAAATAACATTTCCAACAAAAATTGCTTTAACAACATTTTTCTCAAAAGCTCTTCATTGCATCGTTCCCAAAAGGACAATTCCTGGTGATAGCATGAAGAGATCACCCAGGAATCTTCTCCTCTTATACTTCCTTTTAAGGCAGTGGCATCAGTCTCCTCTTCTCTCTTCATGTGCTGCCTTTGATACTTCTAGTCTTTTGTACAAAGCCTTGTTATTAATGTTGGCCACAGGGAGCACATGTGTGAGATGCACAGCACCACAGACCCTTCACAGCTGCACCATGTTTGCATTCAGCAATGGGGGATTGGTCAGAACTGACACAGATGTCCCCAGGACAGCAGTGATATCAGAAGGAAAGTGAGCCCGATGTGAAGGTCACATGACACGTTTCACCCCACTCATATTTGTAAGTCCAACATGCATCTGTTGGCTGCTGAGCATGTGCAGAGCAGGTATCTAGATAGGATGGTGTGTGCTTATGCACTTGCCAGTGTAGCATTGAGATGTCCAGCATGTAGGAGAAATACATACAAGAAACAATCGCTGGAGCATGATTGGGTGGTTCCTCAGCTCGAAACAATACGTGCTGAACTCCGTCCACACGAGTGGGCTGGTGCAGACCTGAACAGAGCATAATGAATGCCCTTCTTCATCATGCAGGTGCCACTTCTCCTGACTCAGATTCAGTTACACTTGTGGAGCTGATTGCAGATTTCAGCCTACTCTTGCATATCAAGAGCATATTCAATGTTCCAGGGACTCCATGAAACAAAAAGTCAGCACATGGTCTTCTTTATAGCCCCCAGGTCTCGTTCATCCCTGGTGGAGCCACATAAAAAACGAGTTTGGCCTATTTTGTCAGATGCAGAGATATCTGTGGAATAGTATGTTCAATCCTTTATGTCAGGTCATCTCTCTCTCCTCAGTAAAATTCATCCGTGATTACTTCTCCATTTACTGGTTTTTTTTTAAATACATAATTATATAGTAACCTTCAAACAGAAGGAGGGAGAATAAATATGTTTAATGTAAAAGTTTAACTAGTCAAAGCAAAGTTAGGGAGAGCACTGAGCATCTCAGGTGCTGGTTAACGTATAAATGAAAAATAAGGAAGACAAGGAAAAGGAATATTAAATTATGTAAATGCTTATGGGAATCATACCTTGGCTCATATACAAGTCTAAGCTGCTGCAGGAAAGAAATGGGAAGACTGGGCTGGAGGAAATGCAACAATTGGTGTCTTCCCATGGAAAGCAAGGGAAAACCTTCAGCTTCCATAGAATGGAAAATAGCTCCACTTATAAAACAGTTTAGGTCACGTTAACACTACATAAAAACAGTGATGGGTTTTGCCCTCAAAACCAAATAGCAAAGCAAGTCCCATGGTCAAATATAGTTTATCCACACACGCAGCTGACACACAGCCCTGTAAGGGTTGTTCCCATTGCATGAAGCTCCTACCTTATTGTAAAGAAGGAGCTGTAGTAACAGGAGAGCATCCACAGAGATGGAGCTTGCACACTGCTTTCTCCTTCAGGCGGGAATCAAGTCTCTTGGGAACAGGTACTGGATTTTTGAAGGTACAGCCTCCTTCATAATTTATGCCTCAAAACCCTCCCTGCATGCTTTCCTTTTCCCCATGCAGACATGTAGGACCCAGGACCAGTGCAAGAAACATCAAGTCCCACAGCAGCTCACTCGTCTGATGGCAAGGATGGGTACTGGCACATTTTTCTGTAGTCCTGCTGTCTCCAGCTTCTCTGTGGGAGCTGATGCTGCAGGACTCATCTTGCATTGTTATGTAGATAAGTAGAAACTCCTCTCCAAAGCTCTAACGTGCCTTCCAAGTCAACAGGAAATAAACTTCTGCAAAGAATGCTGAGTTGTAAGGCTGGTCCCAGCTGGTTTTGGGAACACTGTTCTGTTGGAAACCATATTTCACGGTGTTTAACTGTGACAGGATTTTCTGAAGAAGGCCAAGCATGTGGGAACATTTCTCACTCCCTGGAAGCTAGTGGTTTGTCCTCAGCACAGATTTACAATTTAATTGAAAAAAAATGAGAGAAAGAGAAGAAATTTCGATTAACACTGCTCTTAATCATCAGAGCTTTGGCTGGGCATCTCCTAGTTTTGCCAGCCCAAGTCACAACATGTATTAGAGGACTACAGTAGAAACATCCAGAGAGGAGAATAAAACAAGAATGAGGCAAAGGACAGTCTCACTTACTCAGGAGTAACTCCATGACATAAATAGCTACTTCACATTTATGCAGATGTGGAAACTCAGCTTGTCCCAGTGCCTTCTCAACATTGAACATTTTTCCTTCCTTCTAATTTTTAGGACCTTCCCCAGCAAGCTTCCCTTCAGGCTCCTATTTGTAATGTTTGCATGATATATCAGGAAACATCTCTAAAAAGAGACATCAGTCTATGGCATGGAATTCTCTCTGAGAAATTATCTGCTGTGCTGCAGGCTGTGAAGGGGAGATCTGTTACCATTCAGGAGCTGTCCCATTCAAAAACTGCTGAAGCAAAGAGTAAAAATTCTCTGAGTCAACCCTGAAGCAAAGTCCCAGCCAACATCAGGGAGCCCTTTCTGTTAGAAGAGCCTCTTTTCAGATAAGACTTTCATCCAAGGTTATCTGAACACTTGCAATCAAATGGCATTTTGTGCTAACATTAATCCTGGTGTCCTGGCCACATTCCAGTTTGAGTAACAACGTTCTGCCAACTTAAATTGCTCCAGAGGTTTCAGTAGGATGCAATTTTTTTCCTCTTTTTTGTCTTCCATTTCTGGATAGTTAATTCTGGACAGTGCAAAAGACTGACCATGTTCCAACCCAGCACTGGTAGCACTTCACTTGTGAGAAAAGTGGACCTTGAAGTGAGAAGGACCAAAATGTTGCATGAAAGCACATTATTAATAATAAATGGCTTTTACAACACATTTCTACTTTTCTTTTAAGTTCTGGTATCAATGGAAAATGTAGAGCTGGAATACTATTGAGATCCCTGAGAAAGTTTATTGGCAATCCCAGCAATTGGAACAGAGGAGTGCGTTTTAAGTGTAATCAATACACTTGTGACACAAATGAAAGGGAGATGTTATATAAGGAGTTTTTTCCACTGGAGAGAGCCCTGACAGCCAGTTATTGCACTGAGGAAAGGAAGTCATCCAGATGGACTCTCCGTCACACTAATGAAGCCATCTCATAACTGTAACAGAGACCTCGTGTATCTGCTGTGACACTTAGCAAATCCGGGCATGAATAAATAACCAAAGTCCAATTGAATTAACCTCCAGCTGATCAGCCCTACTAAACAAATTATCCTAAACTCTGAACAAGATTAAAAGGACTGGCACAGGCCAGAATCATGTGGCAGGAGTGTTAATTCAGTTTAACAAGTTTAAACCTAATCCCTCAGTGTTCTCTGATTTCAGGGTTTCAGGGCAAACTGGTTCTAAAATGCTCTTGGAAGGGTTAGAAAAGGAGGCTCGCATGAAGTTGAGAGAAAAAACATGATCTCAGCCTGGAGTCACCTAAAGAAACAGAAGAGGAATTGCCAGTGCAGAGCAGAGGACTTAGGCAGAGCATTTCTTACAGAGACAGAAGAGGGTAGGAAAATGACATTGATTTCCTTATGGAATATTCCAACCTCATTTCCAGGATGAAACTTAAAAGGTTGATAGCACATCTGCTTTTCTTGATTTTCATATTTCTTGTGCAGAAATAGAAGATAAGCACCTATGAAATAAGGGACAATGCTTCATTTTAATGCCATTTTCTCCAGTATATAATTGTATTTTTCTCCTAAGAGTACATTTGTACTGTCCATCAAAAGCACAATTCAATTATCACAAACTTCAGTTCATTACTTAGAATGGCACTAACAAAGAAACAAAGTACTTGTTTTTTTCTATGTTGATTCATAAAAGAATTTATGTGGTCAGTTAAAATTAACTTTAAACTTCAACTTTAATAGACTCAATATTTTGCAGGGTTTTGAAATGTTAAACCTGCTTCTGAGAGAAACTATTTATTTGATTAATTTCTAGACACAGGAGAGAATGTAGTAAACTCTACAAGTTTTCTGAAATGGAGATAACCAGGATTTGAAACTCTTCTAAATACAAGTTCCTGCAGTATATGCATGTGCCTCACAAAATCTTTCCAATCAAAAAATTCCTCATACATGTATTTCCAATCTTCTGTCATAGGTAAGTCCTTCAATACAGCTCCCAGCTTCCTATAATCTCACACTTTTTCAGTGAGTCTGGTTAGTATATGTACAGAAATCTCTCTCTCTACAGCCCACAGAAGAGCACCTGCTTGCATTCTTTTGCCTTGCCATGGAATGTCTTTATGCAGGTCTGGCTTGGATTCTTTATTGTGATCTACAGCATAACTGTAGTTTTATGTGCTAAACTTCAGCACCAGATAGGATGTTCATTTTGACTAGATGGCAAACAAATTTAATGTACCAGGAAAGAGGAAGCATTCAGACATCAGGTATTTTCACTATCTCCATCTTCAACATCTATAAAGAACTTAAAAATCAGATAGAGCCAACCTTCATCTAATATTCAAGAGTAATTCATTATACCCAGGAATCATTTTGGTATTGTTTCATTGGCAAGGCACAGAGTTGTCCACTTTGTTGGGAAATGCCTGAATGCTTCCACATATTTAACTTTTGCAAAATGAATACCTCCTGTAATTCTGAAACTTTTGTTACACAACCCTCGAAATGGAATCATGACCTATCTACTGTGTACTTTGCTATTATTTATGCAGTATATAAATGCAAGGTAAATATTTATTCTCATTTGCCACTGTGTGCACTGACTGATATCTCCCAAAGTTAACAGCAGCATTATGAACTGCAAATGATGACACATTGTCAAAGTTGAAACCATTTGGTTAGATGCCTCTTACATTTTCAAATATTCCCAATGCAATTTCATAACTGTCTTGAACATAATGAGGCAATGGATTTTTCCTCTTTCAACAGTGTAACAATGAACAACTATTAGAACCACTTTATTATTTCCAGAGTTTGAAGGATCAGTGGCCACAGAGAAAATATGCCCTTTTCAACCAAGTTTTTAATTGTTTTCTCACTTGAAAGAGGAGCTAATTTATTACTGGCAGCGCAGAAGGCATTTGTCTCATCAAGATATATAATTCTAACTATGGGTGAATTCTAGACAACAACACTATTTAATTTGCTGTCACAATTAAGTGATTTATAGAACTGACTATACTATTAGTATCATACTAATACTCTCACATTCTCTTGTTGCTTCTGCAAGAGCCATGGTGTTATTTGCTGTGCTTTCGCACTTCTCGGGAACAGAGGGGTATGAGTTTTGTTCTTAGAAGCTATGCCACAATTATTTTTACAATCCACTCCATTTGCACGTTGTCTTTCTTCTGACAGACCCCCACAAGCACCTAAAAAACTCCTACATAAACTATAGTGAGCTTTATGGTAATTACTGCTGTCTTTACTGATCCATGGAAATAATTCCTTCAGCCACTGCAGCAGTACAAAGCTTCTGCTGTTTGCAGGGTAGATCTGCTGATGGATGATACCATCCACAGGCGCTGTCATGGTCGTGATCTATGTAGGGCTGTTACTTGACAAATGAAAATTATGTAAACAGTACTCAAACTCAATCTTGCCTCATGATGACTCTGTCTGTTCCATACCCCCTGCCTATAGTGCCCAGTACAGCCAGCTGTTATCTCATGATAAATACCGGAGATAAAATTATCATCAGACAGCACCAGGTTGGCTGCATGATGTAATCCTGACTCTTTTAGGTGGCTGGAGCTCTTTTAGCTCTCTTAGGTAGTCTGGAGTGATGCTGGAGATGTATTTCACACATTTCCAGAATGTCATTTTAATTTCAGTCGTTCTTGAAAGTAATTTCTGGATAATTTTTGCAAAGAAATGTAGGATGTGCTGGTTTGAAAGGCACTGAATATATGAAAACTACTGCTGTTTGAGATCAAGCACCCAAGAAACTGCTTTCAGCAATGTCCTTCTGCAGGTGTGACTTGCCTCATCTTGCCAGGCTCTGCAATCTCAGCAGTAGCCCCCTCCCAAAACTCTCCCCCAGCACCAAGGTTGCTCCTTTCTCCTTTCTCCTCTCTGCCCCATGGATCTGTAATCCTCCTTTCCCAGCCTGCACAGCAGCTCAGAAAACACCAATGACACAGCATAACAAAGTCCTACAAGGGCTAGAGTACTCCTCTATTTATAGGTCGCTAAATCTGACTAAAAAAAACTTCCAGAGCTCCAGTCACATTGCTACCTAGATGTTTCCAGGCCCAGCCAGAGCGTGCTGGCTTACTGCCATGTTTTTAAATCCTACCCCGTACACTGAGCTTTCGCAGGAAAATCTGTTAGTGCTCATATGTGGGCACTTACTATTGACACAAATATTAATGAACATTCCCATATTGTTTCCTTACTAAGTTGCAAGTGCAAGAAACGAAAACAACAGCATGACCTGACATTCTCAGGCATGTAAAGACATCCAGCATTTCTATTTCAGATGGGCAGCCGAGTGCAGCTCACACAGAAATGGAACAACTGGACGGGTTATGTGTGGGGTTTTTTATTAAGACTGTTGTTTTGCTGGCTGAATTCTACAACTGGAAAAAAAGAAAGGTTTAATCAAAAACAAAATAGCTTGGAGCTGTTCTGCAACGCCTAATGGATTGGGTGAGCCTTCCCCTTACTCACACAATCAATGAAATAAGAGAAGTCCCACACAGTAAGAGCTGTGTGGACAACTTCAAAACAAGCCAGACCCTTAGACTTGTCTCTCAGAATAAGAATTGATACTCTCGTTATCCCAGGGAGCACAGAAAAGGGACCAATGCACAAAACAGCCAGAATCCCCTCACCTCCCTTCAAAATATGAGCACAAACAGAGCCTTAGAGCTTTAACCCCGAGAATGCTGTCCAGGTATCACCTAATCCTGGACATGCCTGAACTCCTCATCTGCTCACACTCCAACTTTAGGCTTCCCTGCACATGTGATGTCCCATTTCTACTCATGTGCAGAGGCAGCTGGGGTGTGGTCATGTTTGGCAGGCCCATACCTATGTCAGGCTGAGCTCTAGAAAGCAGGAGATAAGCCAACCAACGTCAGCCACAGCACGTGTGACTCCTGACTGAGGAGAGCCAGGTTCTAAGCCATGTTTCCAGTGAGTGCAGAGAGAGCTGGGCAGGGAGACACACTTGTTGGGGCTAAGGCTGGTCTCTGAGAACAGCCCCAGGTGTGCTCCTCTCCCTGCCTCCCCCAGGGCCTCGATCCATTAGTATTTTCTGAACATCACTCTGCCAGACTCTATCAAAATGCAGTGAGGAAGGCTTGAAAGGAGAAATCCAGGGTGTGGATTTCTGCCGTCCCTCCTACTCCTTTGACAAAACAGCTCCATGGAGAGAGTGCTCACACAACCCTGCACCACCCACACCCCCGACCTTGCTGTGACAGCAATAAGGGGAGCAGGAACACTCTGATATCATCTGGCCTGAGGAATGTACTCGCAGGCAGCTCTGCTTCACGTACCTGATTTATAACAAGGGTCAGAATAATTCCCAAGCAGTTCCTGCATCAGGGAGCAAACTAATTCGTTTCCTCTCTCCTTGGCTGCGCAGCCCAGGGCCCAGCTGCACCTGAGGTTCCAGCTCACAGTCTATATTCTGCATCATAAAAGATACAAGAGAGAAATCTAAACTAGAGAAGTAATAACCTGTAAACTAATAAACCAACCGAGCACTTTGATAGTGAGGCCCTCCCCAGAGCAGGGATTATTAATGGATGTCCTGAAACACTGTGTGTCTAGTTTTCGAGAGAAGTGGGAAACATTTCTGATGCTCTGAGGATCTTATGCATTTGTTCTTATAAAATCAGTTCTGATAAATGCAAAGACTAATATAAAAGCAGCCTCCTTCCAGTCTACACACACAGAGGCACTGAAGCAGTTTAAAAAGAAGAGTAATACAAAACTGCTCAAATAAATAATAATAAAGGTATAAAGTGGCAACATTATGAATAGTTTTTCTTGTCAACGTATGGGGCTGCACAGTCATTGATTTTGTCTCATAATTGAGATAGTGACATGCACAACTTATGTTTCTTCAACAGTAAGTGCATGGGAATGGAAGAAGGGATCCTGAAATTCTGCAGAATCTCCAGCTGAGGATTTGATGGCTCTGACCTGCTGTCTTGATTCTTTATTTTCCCCCAACTGTAAAATGGGGTATATTAATAATGTGTTATGTCAAAAGACAGCTTATGAAGCTAAGTGTAATAATGTTTGCAATGTGATTAAGGATCTTTGGAGAAATAGTGCTGTAGAAACCAGGAGTGTAAGTGTGGATCCAGCTCTCTCTCAGCCACAAAATGCTGGGAAGCAGACGGCAGGCAGACAGATCCCTCAGGAAAGGTCCCATTACCTGCCACAGTGTGTATTCTCAAATCTCCATCCCCTATATCAGTCACACAACAATAGGACTCTTCTCTTTAGTTCATTTTTTTAATGTATTTACTGTCAGTGATGAAGATTCAGTGCTTAGTTACTTCAGTTTACTATATCCCACATCAGCTACATGCCAAAATGAGACATCCAATTCAAAGAAACTGTTAAGAGACAACTTTTTCATCCCAAACTAATGCAAAACAGCAAAGAATGGTGAATCCCTGTAAATCTGAACAACAGCTCTTTGTCCTCCTGACATGTAAAAAATAAAATGGAGTCTGGCGAGGATGGCAGGAAGAACTGGGTCCTTTGTGTTTCCTGAAGTAAAGTTACTCTCTGGAAAAGGCAGAGCAGGAATAAACTTCTTTATGAGTCAGGAGGTTTTACTGACAATAGCTGCTATTATCTCTGTCAGACAGGCAAAGCCTCGAGTGATTGTGGTAAGCAAGAAAGAGGAATGCTGTTTATTCGCAGTGCTGGAAAACAGACTGTTTGCCAGACTGCAAAGAGTACCGAAAAGGTATCGAGCCTCTGTTTGAATTAACCACAAAAATAACCTGCTGAATTAAAAGCTTTTCCGTGGACCTCTGCTGCTCTCTAACGGTGCCTTCCAGGATTCTCTCCACAAAGTCTATGTGCTCTTCCTGTAGTCAAGTTTTGGTAAACTTGTAATGCAAAACAAAAGGAATATTCATGAGGTCCTTAAGATATGTTACCTCAACTGACAACCCACAACTCAGGCAGCTAGTGCTGCAGCCACAGCTGGGATATTTAGCGTGTGATGGGAATGCCAGTAGAGGAGAGCTAAAACATAGCAATGAAAGCTTCGAGCATACATTAGATGCAGCGATTGCAAGAGTCTGAAAGGTTGCAAACCTCTGAGAAATCCCAATTTTCAGGGCTTTGTATAAATTAGAATACAAAATTATTATTCACGAGTACTAGTATTACAAAGAAAAACGTTAGCACTGGATTGATTGTGTGTAATTAACAGAAACTAATGTCTGCACCCGGGACAGTCACGTTTGGTTTTGCTCTCTTCACACAAGTGTCCTTATTTTATCCCCCAGAACAGCTCCACTGTACAGCTGCCATCACTCACTCAGCCAAGGGCAAAGCTGCTCCCATAGCCCAAAACCAGCCTTATTTTCACAGAATCACAGAACAGTTTGGGTTGGAAGGGACCTTAAAGCTCATCTCGTTCCAACCCCCTGCCATGGCCAGGGACACCTTCCACTATCTCAGGTTGCTCCAAGCCCCGTCCAATCTGGCCTTGAGCACTTCCAGGGGTGGGGAATCCACAGCTTCTCTGGGCAACCTGTGCCAGGACCTCACAACCCTCATAGTGAAGTTCTTCCTAATACCTAATCCAAATTTCTCCGCATTTAGTTTAAAAACATTCTCCTTTGTCCTATCCCTGCCTTCCCGTGTAAAAAGTCGCTCTCCCTCTATTTTTATCAGCCTGCTTTACAACCCACTTTTTTTTTTTTATTTAGATGGGAAAGCACGCTCAGGGGATTAAAGTGTGACCCAACAATGCCCAGTGGGTGGGTGCAGCCACATCCCCTGCGGAAAAATCAAAACATGCAAACATTTGCAGTCCCGCTGCGGCCCTCAGGGTCACCTGTCCCCTCACGGGCCTGAGGAAGGGGACACGCCACCCCCTCACGGCGCTGCGGGGTCCTGCCCCGGGACTGCCCCACCCGCGCTGGGAAGCGGCATGGAACGAGGAGAAAACGGAGGAGGAGACGGCGTCGGGGAAAGGGGCTCCTCCCCGGATCCGGGGCAGGAGCTCAGCCCAGGGCCGTTGAGGGACCACGGCCATGAGGAGACTGTGGGGGGCTGGAGATGGCGCCTTCCCGCGCGCGAGCGCGGCGGGTAATGGCGGCGGTGGCGTTGAGGGGAGGGGACGGGCCGTGAGGGCAGCGGCCGCCCTGCGCCATCGCCCCGCGCCGGCTGAGGGAGGGAGGAGGGAAAGGAGGGAAGGGAAAGGCGCCGCTTCCGCCGCGGCGGGGCGGGCCTGGGCGGAGAACGGCGGCACGGGTAGGGGCGGCGGGGCCGCGGCCCGGCGGGAGGGCTGATGGTGGCTGTGTCTCTGTTTCCCTCAATAAGAGTCCGGCCCTGCGGGGCCTGGGGTGGAAAGCGGGGCTCAGGGTCCCCTTCCTGGTCATTGTTAGGACGGAGCCTGTCAGAGCCAGCTCGGCCATGCCGGGGGAGTGATGCCATCGCTGCGAGGCTGCCAAATATCCCCCCCCCCAATCAGGGGCGCGCTGTCCCGCACTAACACGCACCTCCGGATGCTCCTGTGCTCTGAAACGAACTTAACCCAGGGTGTTTCAAATGATGGGGAAGGATTTGGGCTTTTTACAGCCCCTAGAGACCACGTTTGTAATCTAACGTTGTTTTGCTGTTCTTGCCGCTCCGTTCTCTTCCGGCAGCGATGGAAGCAGGTCCCATCGTGACGTCCAAGCAGCGGGAGGAGGTGGTGCACGGCGTCCCCACCGAGGTGGTGTGCACGGCCTTCTCCAACTCCGTGCTCGTGGTGGTCACCCAGTACGGCAAGATGGGCACCATCGTCTACGTGGACCCCAACACCATCGGCGACAACGTGGGCAGGCCCTCGCTCACCACCAAGGTGCTGCTGGGCAAGGATGAGGTGAGAGCGAGCGGATGTGCAGCAAGGATAAAGGGGAAATGTAGTAGGTGGGGCTGTGCGAGTTGCCAGGGAGTTGATGAATCACAGCAGTTAGAGCAGTGTTTGAACAGTGATAAGATTAATTTTAAAATATCTTCTGAGGCAAGAGGGGTTCATCACAAAAGTATGTGCGCTCGTCTGCTGTTTGACATAAAACTTTAACTAGCCGTCAGTGGTTTGGGAATCTGTTGTTTTGTGTCCTGCAGGATATGGATTGCTTCTCTGTGTTTATGCAAGGTTTGATAAAGCTCTGTTGATTTAAGGGTTGCAAGATCAAATGTGCAGCCATTGATAACCTTTTGGGTTTCTGTTCCAGTGAGTTTGTTTTTCTTTTCAGGTCTGTTTTGTCACCCCCATCCCCCTGCCCAGTGTATGCCAGCCCCATAATGGACTTTAGTTACCCTCACTTAAGTGTGCCTGCCAGCACCTTCCCTTGATAAAGTTTAATTTGTTTTGCTTCAGCAAAATGAGTTTTTATCAACCATTTCACAAGGCTGGTGAGAAAGCAGGAGAAAATGTGTTTCGCAAAGCGTCAACTGGTCAAGCATTAAAACAGAAAGTTACAGAGCTACATGCTTATGAGGCTTTCCATCAGGGTTGAAGCTATTAAATATTACTTGCTAGCTTTAACTAGAAAAACTGTAGCAACACAAGTTCCTGATTCTATCCACAGCTTCCCTTCGTGGAGTTCTTTTTCTTCAGTAATAGCCTTCCCTTTCTGAATAGATGTTTTGTTTTTCTTTCGTTGGTATGATATGTGCTAATTCTGACCACCTCCACCCCCAAGCTGCTTCTGTGTTTTATTTGGAAATGGGAAGTGCTATGTTTACTTCATTAAATTCTATTTTTAAATCATTTAAACCAACTAAACCGAGCTAAACTTTAAGAAAAGGCTTTCACTAGTTTGCTCCTTTCCTGCTTGTCACTGTTAACATCCCTGTTTGGGATGGTGCACACTTCCAAACAAGACTGGTAGTTAAAATCAATCAGACTCATCCTTCTGACAGATACACAACTGTGGGTGTCAATGAAACGTAGACAAGTTGAGCGGTTCAAAGCTGTGCTGGATGAGGTTCAGACTGGACCTTCGGAAGCATTTCTTTACTGAGAAGGTGGTCAGACTGAAACAGGCTTGAGGGGGTTGATGCTCTGAGCCTGTCAGTGTTCAAGAGCCATTTGGACAATGCCCTGAATAATGTTTTAACTTGAGTTGGTCAGGCAGTTGGACTAGATATCCTTGTAGGTCCCTTCCAACTGAAATAGTCAATGCTGTTCTAGTCTATTCTTGTTAAGGAAACCTTACAAGGATTGTTATATCTCTTTTCTTCCCTTCTTCAGTCTCGCTACTTATTTCTGGTTTTCATTATTCTAGTAAAATAAGCAACATGCCTGTTACACAGGAATTCTCTAGGAATTGCAAAAATAGCAGGGTTTTTTCCAGAGTTTGTCAGCGGAACATCCCCTCTTCAGAACAAGTTTTTAAACAAAAGGTTGTACTTGCAGACCTCTTTAGAAGTCTGGCTCTGATGGAAATAAAGATATTTGGATCCACAGCATTTCATATAATTGGATATTGGTGTCATAGTTTGCGTGGGAGGATTATGGAAGGAAAAATTCTCCACACTGACTTTCCAGTTTTTCCTGACAGTGCTAAAACTCAATTCCAGTGCAGCTCCAGTTAAGTTGCTTCAGGGTGGTTTGGGTGGCTGTCATTCATGGGTCCAAACTCTTCCCTTTTAAGCTGGTTGAGTTTCTAAAGTTCCCTGTCCTGTGGCTTGGCTTTGCTGACCGTGTTGGAACCACACAGCAAATGCCATGCTCAGTCCAAGTCCAGGATCAACAGGTTCTTGACATCATTCCTTGACTCTTCCTCTCCTAGCTCGTGTGGGAGGGCTCTCCCATCTGTAGGAGTGCACATCTCTATCCCCTTTGCTTTTCAGCCCCTCGTTCATGTTTGTGCCAAAAACCTGGTGGCGTTCGTGTCACAGGAAGCTGGGAACAAACCTGTTCTTCTCGCCATGGCTTTAAAGGACAAGACCATGGAAGGAATACAGGCTCTACGGGAAGTGATCCGAAGTTGCCAAGTGTGGTGAAGTTGTGCCATCTGGATTCAAGGAAACGATCTCGAGTCCATGACTCATCACCACCTATTTAAAAGGACAAGAAATGAAAATGATGGAATGTCTTTGTGGTGGTTCTGGACGTACTGAGGAATTTGATGAATTTTTCTCTACTGTGTAGAACATTTGTGAGTTTGTTACTGGGACAGGTTTGCAGTCCATACAGTCAGTGATGGGACAAGAACAATTGTCTCAATATACAAGAGAAGTGTTATTTTTACTATGTTGGGTGGGTCATATATTTGGGAAAGGGCTCAGCTCTGCACTTGTGTCCTCAGGAGCTGTAGATGCCAAGCTCTGTAGCTGCACTGTACCACAAAGGGGGAACACCCAGTGCAGAGGGAATAAAAGAAACACTGACAAATCTAATTTTACCTGTTTTCTTTTTTCTCTGTGAAAATCACTTCAATTGAAATACAAGCTTTGGTAAAAAGTCAAAAATTGCATAATGGGAAAGATTTTCTTGCCTGTTTTTAAGGAAATGAGTCCTATATGACTGCTTTTGTCCTTATGTCAGTTCCTGATGTAGTCTGAATCCATTTTCCACTTTCACTCTGATTTTAAAGAGAGGCAGATAATTATGCTCTGCAAATTTCATGAAAGCTGATGTGAGAGTGGAAGACAGGAACCCAAAATAGTGGTGAGAAGAAGACAAAATAATCTCTGCCAATGGATTACATGGCATCAGCACATCAAAGAGGCAGAACACCCATAGGTTGGACCACCTGCAATGAGCAGCTGTCACGGGAGACTTGGGGACAGAGGGTTTGGGGAAGGGTTACACAAAGGTGTTTCTGCTGAGTCATTGACAAAAAGCGTCAGATGAAGTTGTATGAGTTGATGCAAAGATTAATAGCCAAACTTTTGCCATTTGTTTGGAAAGCACATTTGTTTTTACCTCTCCTACAAGAAGAAGTAGTAAATTTTTAAGTGAGCTGTTACACACTATTGTCACTTATGAACCTGACAGCACAGTCGGAGGCCAGGTCTTGGATTCTGGGAAGGGAGGAGCTGTGCTAAGACCTGTTGGTACAGCAGAATCAGCACAGAGCCTGTGCCTGCCCCGTGTTGATCCAGCTGCTGGGTCATTTCTGTTGCTAAAAAATCCCCTAGAAGTAGAAAAGCAGAAAATGGATTTCGAAAGGACTCTTCTCTGAAACAAGGGTTATTTACAGCATTTAAGGGATTATGAGAAATGAAACTTTTTTTAAAAATACATTCAAACACTGCAGGCTTCCGGCTGCCCTTGACAAGAAACTTCATCTAAAAATAATTTTCCAAACTGTGCTTCCAAGAATCAGAGATTTGCATCTGTCACAACTATAAATTTTCCCTCTTCTACACTTCTCCTTTTTTTGTCTAGGAAGACTGAGAGAGGCATGTGGAATTTGTTATTGTCGATCTGGTTTGCTAGTAGGGATTCTTTTCCAACACAAAATTCAATGTCTATTCCAAATCCTGGTGCTCTTAGTCTGTCCATATGTCCTGCAACTTTTGGAAAGCATACATTAATTAGCAAATTGGATGGAAATTGCATCTTCCACTGTGGTGATATGGTGGCATACCAGCACTGAGCCCCCAAGACCCGAGTGTCACTACCTAAAAGCCAAGCACAAGTTAACCACCTTCATTTCCTGGCTGTGTGTGCCACCAGGTCTGCACAGGGTGGTGGGTGAGAAAAGGACATGGGAATCTCTCCGATGTGATGCTTGGAGCCAGGACAGACTTACCTTGGTGCCTTTCCGTGGGCTATAAATTGGAGCACAAGCAATTGGTCCTTCGACTTTGCTCCTCTCTGCTCAGCAGCACACCAGGGGGAAGGCCTGCCCCAAACAACAGGCACAAGGTGCCACCAGCTGCCTGTCTTCCAGTCATCGCTCTCCTCCGAGTAGGGATTAATTCCAATTTCAAGGAGAGCTGCCTCTGCCGGCCAGGCAGAGCTCCTGCCCGCGGCCGCAGGACGTGTGCCGGGCAGCGGCGTTGGGCTGCACCGTGGCTTTCCATCCGTGTTTGCTTTCCGGGCGTGGGTGCCGAGTGCGGCAGACTGGAAAGGTAAGTTGGGTGGCTTTTCTGCAGGAGACAAAGCCCAACCTGCTGCTCCAGCTCCCGGGGGGCCTGGGGCACAGCGAGGGCAAGTGGGGAGTTGGCAGGGTGAGCAGGGCGCAGCGAGGGCGAGGGGTGTGCTGGTAAGGTAAGTGGGGTGCTGGCAGGGCCCGGGGCACAACAAGGGCAGTTGGGGTGCTGGCAGGGAGAGTGGGGTGCTGGTGGGATGAGTGGGGCGCTGGCAGGACCCGGGGAGCTGCAAAGGTAACTGGGGCACTGGCAGGGCCCGCTGCCAGCAGGCGGGCAGGGCTGGGAGGGTGTCCGGAGGAGGAGTCTCCCGCGGGTGCAGGTGGAGGAGGGCACGGGGGATGCAGAGGCAGGGGCGCGGCAGCCAGACCCGCTCCCGGAGGAGCCCCACGGGGTGAGTGGGGCCCTGGGGGGTGCGCGGCGGCTGGGGACACCCCCCACAGACTAGAGGTTGGCCCAGCCACTGGTTTTGAGCACCTGTAGGAGCTGCTGGGGCGGCAGAGCTTGCTGTAAGAGCTCCATGCCTGCGTCATCCAGTCCTCCAGACGGGCTTTAAGGAGGGCTCCATGCTGCCCTGCCTCGATTCATTGCTGTGTGCTTGCTGTAGGTCCTTCCTCCTGGGTGGCCTGGGAGTGGTGTGGACAGCCTGGTAGGGTAAATAACCCGGTGTCTTGGCTTTATCTGAAAGCAGTCAGGATAAAAGGCATGTCTCCTGTGCTGGTGGGGTTAAGCCTGGATGCTCCCCTTCCCGGGATGTGGGTCAGGGATCTGAGAGGCACTGGTAGGGGGCTGTGAGGGCTCATCTTTCCTTTCTGGCTGCTCCACCTCACAGAGGCTGCTGCCGAGATGGGGATTTGTCCCAGGTGTTTCAGGACACAGGGAAGGATGTGAGTTGGGAGTCCAGGCTCTGGCAACCTGCGGATAGAGGGGAATCCCTGGTGAGGTGAAAAGCCTGTTTGCAGGTGGCCTGCCTGAACACAGGCTTCACTGCTCAGTTTATCTTCTCGTTGCTCACCTGGCATCTCTAATATCCCAGGGAGCGAGTGTAACAGGTGGATGCTGCATGGCAGGTACCTGCAAGGTGTCTGAAAACAGACAGATTGGATGTGGCACTGTCACAGTCCCGTCCAGGAGCTGAGTTTTGCAGCTGATATTATTCCTGGTGTCTCCTTGCTGCCTTTGTTTTGGAAGTAAATGGCTCTCTAACTGCATTGAATTGCCCGACTACCTTGCATGGCCGGGATCTAATTACCTCTGAAGCTGGGAGCCCTATCTCCAAGCGGCACCGAGGCTTTTGCTTTTAATGACTTGCTCTGCCACGTTCAGAGTGTGACAATGTCGGGGAGGCTGCCAGGACCAGCTGCTGGTGCCACTGTGCTCGTACCGAGATGGCTGGGAAAGCTAATAAGAGTTGGGATGTCTGGGGCCAAGCATCTGTGGCACAGTGCTGGGTTGAAAACAGAATAAATGGGTCTAGCGATGAGTGCAGCTCTCTGCCATGTCTTGGGGAGTGGGCTGGATCACTGGAAAAGTGACTAGAAAAACACAGCTAGAAACAATGAGCTTTCATACAGCTATATCACGATGCTCTGGTAGAGGGAAAAAGTGGCCAAATCCAGCCATATAGCCCCAGCCAGCAGCAGGGTAGCCCCCAAAAAGAGTGAGGAGTGACTGGGAAACAGGGCACAACCAGGCTCTTGTCTCCCTCCCTGTACCATGAGCTATCTCCGTCCTCCTGTTAATGTTTACAAGGCAGGTCTGGTGTCATTGTGGTCTGTCCAAAGACCAGATCCCTCCTCAGCTTTCCTGGGATCCTTCTTCCTGCCGGCTGGGGCAGGGCCACAGGACAGCTGCGGGGAGGAAAAGCCCGGCTCCCTGCTGTCTCCATAACACTACTGGCCCCATATCCAGCCATCCCCACTTGTGGGCACAGGTACGCTGGGTGAGCTCCTGGGGCCTGGCCAGCACTCTGCCGCCCCGGCATCTCCGCTTACAGGCAACTCCTGCCAGGAGGAGGCGGGGGAAAAGGTATTTTTAGGGCTGTTGATCTGACACCAGCTGAGTCTCCTCGCCTGTGAGGTTGGGGTTTGGGGAGAGGGCAGAAGAGGAAGCCGCAGGGTGAGCTCTTGCTTTGGTTTGTTTTCAGTTTTTAATTGGACCGAGGTCATTCCCTACCACTCTTATCTGTGGCAGATATTTTCATGCTCCTCTCCAGTTCATGCTTACAGTTTTACCCCAGGCAATAGTTACCCAGCAGCTAAAATATTTGTTTATTAACAATGCACTGAAAAGCATCTATATTGTTGGAGCTCTGCTCACAGATTGTTGTTGTTTATTTAAAACTGCTATTGTTATGCTTGAAAAAAGCAGCTTTCCATAGACTAGCAGAAAGAGAACCCAAACATGGCAGTTTATGCATCTGTTGGCCTTGAGATATGAAGCTGCCCTATAAATAATTGCTTATTATTAGATTGGTCCTTGCTGACTGGAGCCGCAGGGTACACGGTGCTCATATGCCCTGGCCACCCTCGGCACCAGGAATGCTCAGTGCCTTGGGGCAACCAGCTTCCAGGAGCACAGACTGACCAGGGAGATGCTGGAGTGCTCCAGCATCCCTAAGGGGCAGCAGGTTTGCCTGTGGCGTGACAGGCTTGCTCCCTTGTGCCTAATTTGGGTGCAGGAGGGACCACTGGCTGCCCTTCAGATCTTGGGGTTGGCACTGCTTGGCACAGTGACACTCCCACAGTCCTGAAATAGCTGGATTAAGAACGTGGGTGATGCCAAACATCTGGCTCCTTGGGCAGCTCCGGGCTTTGCCCACAGCAGGCCACACATGACGAATGGAGCCAAATTTGGGGGGGACCACAGGGATCCCGGTGTTTTCTGGGCTCCCAAGGAGGAGGACATGGGTGTCCTGATGGCTTGTTGGTAAGGGACTCATTATCTTGGGTGAGGGATGGGTTTAACCTTTAAGTCTCTGGTTTATGATGGAAAAGGGTCCTGAGCCACAGGTGTGAACTCATGTGGGCACAAATGTAAGCAGGTCCTTCCTTTTCAAGCTGGATAGTTATTCCTGAGAAAACAAGGAGCAAGGCTGGGAAGGAAAAGCATGTGTTTTGGGAGACATGGGGACTGCATAACCTTCTCAGGGAAAAGAGGGTCTACTCTTGAAGGACATTTGCATTTTCCTTCTGAGAGGAGCAGAGAAGCAGACCCAACCATGGCAAATGGGTTGGTTTGGCTGTGGGACACCCTGGAAAAACCCTGGGGAGGAGATAAACCTCACAGGAGATTTGTAC